CATAATGGCACAAAGTAGGCCACAGTTGCAAAATAATTTCATTTACTCAGGTGTCTGGGATTCAAACTGTGCACGGAGTGGACTTTCTCGGACATCTAAGTCCTTCCAGAATCCCGACAGACAGAATGAGGAGAAACCAAAGTTTTCCAGTATTCCTCCAGAAGATTAAGGGAGCCTACTGGGTTCTCACTGCTGTCCTGCTGCCTGACAGCATGGTGCCAGCCTCTCTCTGCCGAGCCTGTGTTTGCTGGCCTGTTTTGTGGCAGGCAGATGCAATCACATGTTCTTCAGCTGGTGTAAAGTGACGCAGCTTCATGGAAGGTGCTGCGTCAAGTCCCAGGGTGGGAAGCAGTGCTGCTTGGGGAGCAATGCTTTGCCCTGGGCAGCTGCCTTCTTCTGCCTGTGTGCTTCTGTCACATCCAGTACCCACTGCCGACTCCTCATCGGGAAATCAGCCCCTGAGTTGTTTGTAAAACAGTCAGCAAAGTAGGCATGGTATGTGGCGTGGCAATTCTTTCACTAGTTTACTGTATTACCCTCTGTCCGTGTAAACCATTACAAAGCCTTTTAAAAATTAGGTTTCTGCTCCTGGTGTGCCCACCTGAGTCCACAGGTACTGCACCAAAAAAAAAAGGAAAGAACATATGTGGGAGTCAGTTTTCCCATTTGAAGATGCATTTCTATACAGTTGGGCCACATAGAGGGCTAATATTCTTGGGAGTTTAATACTTTCCATTGTATAAGAAACACAGACATCTCAATGCCTGTTAAAGGTTAGGGAACTGTTTGAAAATAACCTACTTCAGTTTTTAAGCAGTAATGCACCATAAGCAAGAGAAGATGATAAAGTCCCATCAGGTGGTACTCAAGGGATGACATACATAGGCTGTCAAATCTAAGTCTCCATGTTTGCATATAAATGTGATAGGTCTATTTACTGTAATGTTTGCTGCTCCTTTGAATAGGCAATGCAGTGACTGAGTTATCTGTTTGATCAATAATTGTTTTTGCTGTTCATGGCAAAATCCAAGCTGAAATTTAAGTGAAATTGGTGAAGACTGAAGTTTGACTGCAATGTCAGCATCTTATCGGGACATGCTTTTGGGCATGGCAAAAATTGTCTGCGGATAAGTTAGGACCTAAACTACTGAAAAATTGCAACCTGTACATCCTTTGTAAAGAATAAGGAAAAATTTCTTAAAATTCCTCAAAGTTTGTATCAGTGTCAATCATGCTCATTTAGAGCAGGACTTACATTGTAACACATGGTCTTGATTGGGGCATGTGGAGTTCAGAACTAGCAATTTGGTTATGACAAGATACCACCAAATAAAATTTGTATAGGCAGTTTAAGATGATTTTTCCAATGAAAAATTATTAATATATTTCTGAAGATAGTAACTGTGGTAATCATTTAGCTGTCACATAGAGTATTAAATTTTGTCATTTAATAATAATGAAGCAAGCAAGAATGTAACTTAAAAATAAAACCCTCAATCTAAATATATACCATTGTCTTGACAACTTCAAAACACAAATGGAAAGGCTTTTGTAATAAAGTTTTTAGAAACCAGTGCAAGAGGTGGCTTTCAGGTTTTGCAGGACGATTACACAAGGAGTAAAGGCACATCAGACTCCAGCTCCAGCACTGCCCCGTGCACGAGCTCCAGCGCGGAAGGCACAGGCAATACTGAGCTGCCGCTTCCAAGTGGTGGCGTAACTAAAGTTTCTCTTGCCCAGTCGTGGTGGAAGTTGTCAAAGTAAGGTGAGGGTAACTGCAGAGAGAAACAAAACCAGTCTTTAAAATTTGCTGGTGGTTTATAACTCCCATATCTGTGACTGAACTTCCTAGTGATGTTGGTTGCCCCAGGCCAGGTTGCAAAGGACTCAGTTGAAAATAAACTGAAGGTTGCAAATGGCTTAAGGGTGGAAATACCTAATGAATTGTATAGAAAACCAACCTATTATAAAGATAATTCATCAAATGTGTGAAAAAGACCTAAGTTTTTATCAGCAGTTGATACTGGAGGCCATAAGGTGGCAATTCCAGAGGTATGATGACAAGAAAATCCAAACCATTTGGGAACAACATAGTTATAAAGTTTGAGAACAGCAAAGGAGAGAGAATTGTGGAGTACTGTAAGTAAACTGAAATAAACTGGTGTTACATAACTGGTGTTACAGTGGTAATATCTGTCTGTCTGTGAGACAGGTTGTCTGCTTGGGCTAGACCTTCCACAAAATTCTTGCCGAAACACTGTGGACTTAAAGGGCCACCACAAGCCTCAAAGAGGTTAAAAGAATATGAAGGACCTATGGGAAAAAAAAAAAGTTGCTGATAAGATAGGACAGTCAGTTTATCTGGAAAAATATATTGGAAATTTTCTGTGTTAATCTCAGAACTGTGAGAGCTTGAAATCAAAGGGGTCCTGGTTGTTAATCAGTGTGTTTGCCAGAAAGTGAGGAACCTGATCATTCACGGGACTCAGCGCTCCCCACATCAGTGGCTGCTTGTGTAGGTGGTTGTATTTTTGGCAGAAGACCTCCTGTACCCTTCCAGACAGGGCAGGTCTCTCAGGTGGAAATGGCTTCCATAGACATGGATGAATTAAAATAGAAAAACTGCCTGTGGAGCAGGAGGAGGCTACTGCAGAGTGCCCACTAAGGGAAACTCTTGGCTTTCTCTCATGATCATCTGCTTCTAAAGCAGAAAAGATTCTTTATATGCAGTCACTCTCAAGGGAAAGTTCAGAAAGAGGTTAATATTTCCAAACATCTGTTGAAAACTGAAGGAAAGGAAGAGAGTTAGTCTAAGCAATGGATTTGATCTTCTGCTGTTTCTGGCCATTTAGCCCAAGAATCCAAACACCTTGGCAGCAGCTCTGCAACTTTAGCATTTGCTTCAGTGGTTTTTGTCTTTCCTCACTTCCATATGCCTGCATGGGGCCAGCTATTAATTAGGGCACATTGACATATGGAAACTAAGGTGTTGTTTGAATGTGTTTGAACTGGATGTGGATACAACTGATATATAAGAACAGATTATTTGGTATCACAGTTCAAATATTCTGCTATTTATGTTTTAGGCTTTAGCTGTAGTCTGAGCCTGTAACTTTCTGTCCTCACTATGAGGTCTGTAAAGAAAACTCAGTAATGTATGACACAACGTGTTTGCTGAAATTGAGTACAATATTACAGTTTTATAAATTGAAGACACTTACAGGGTTGGATCTTGGAACTCAGATATTTTTAGGTTTTTTTTTTACTTTAGGACATCACTATTACATCAGTTTTCTGGAAAATTGAAGGCATCTCCATATCTATTAAGATTTTCAGACTTTGAGAAGAGGGCTTATTGTGAATCTAAGAAGTTTTTAAAAAATAAATCAGAATTAAATTTATCTTATTTATATGCCTTCTCTTAATTCTGTAGGATCACATGCTGACTGTTTTGTCTTCCAGACAGATTTTCCCAGTAATGTGTCATCTGTTTGTGTGTGGAGAAGTCTAAAGTGACTAATTCTTTCTACTATTTACATTCATAAAGTAACAATTCTTGTTTTGTGCTTGAAGAAACTGCTAAAAGCCCTTCAGTGGAAGCACTAGAAGCAATTAAATTATCAGTCCTAAATATATTTATGCATTAGTGATTCAATATGCTTTCCCGAACACGACAAAATTACCTTGGCAAGAATGTCTTTCCTGTGAACTTAAAATTGTTTTCACCATTTTTATACCTGCCAGGGTTTGAAATCTATGAATAGAGAGATTTGTGGAGGAAGAAGTATATCTTTATGCATAAATATATACATAGGGACATTGAATAATTTTTTTGGATGATGAAAAGGAGGAATAAAGGGGAAGATTTGACACAGGAGTTTCAGGTTATTGATGCTGTTACTATATGAGGCAACACAGCATGGATATCTCCACTGTAAAGATCAGCAATAATTTACAAATATTTAAAAATTCAGTTTGCCCATCCTAGAAGGTGCCTAGATTTGTCTGAGATAGCGTTTGTGGCACTACTTGCATGGAAGTGACTGTGTTCAAGGTGGGCCATTATGTAGGGCTGTATTTTTCTTGGCTGTTTGAGTTGGGTAGAGGCATTCTCTGGGGAAGTGTACCAGGCCAGGAAATGGCATTTCAGAGGAAAATCTAGATCCTGGGCTTTGTTTTGCTTGCTGGGAAGATGGAGTGGCTTGGTTCTGAGGGCTTTCCAGGCTTTTCACTGCAGCTCTGCAATAGTTTGCTTTATAAACACCAACACATTATATTCCAGAGAGGTAGTGTATTTGTTAAAATACCTATTTGCTTAGATAGTCTTTGCTTATGGGAAGCAGCAGACCTGAAGATCTGGGAAGTCCTCGTAAGCAGAGAGACAGCCTGACACTGCTCGTGTGTGGGGCTGTGCTCCTTGTTGCTGGACAGGCTCCTTATGGAGATCCTGCTGGTATCACTTGCTCCCCTTTACCTTCTGGCAGCTGAGTTGGATCATAGTAGATTATTTTTCTGCTCCTGAGAAACCCTCATTTACAGATACAGCTGTTAAAGAATCCAGTAAGTGGCTCTGAGAAGTGCTTTAGTTTCTTGGTTTCCTTTTGTATGGATAAATTCTGACTTTTTTCTGGAATTTTAGAAGGGCAGCTACGATTTCCATAGTGATGCAGCACAGATGTGTGTACATTAAAGATATGTTGTATATAATGTGGTTTCCAACATTCTAATTCAGATACTGATTCAAATACCTTTTTCATTTAACATTGAGAGGCAAATGATTGCTTTATCAAATGGACTAGAATTGCTTTTTTGCTGGATAGTCTTCAGCACTGTTGAGAAATTAATGGCAGTGTCTGAATTTATGAAGGGCAAAGAAATGGTATTCACTAATTCAAAGAACTAATTAGAAATAAACGTCTGTGGGTATTGGGTTCCCCCCCCCACACACTACATTTTAGGAGCATTAGAGGAAAATTTAATAATTGCTTTCAATTTTTCAGGCAGCCAACATCAAGCGTGAAATGACCTTCCCTGCATTTCAACAGGAGGATGTAAAAAGTGACATCAGTCAAAAACTGCCAGACCAACAGTTTCTCCTGTTTACCACAAAGGAGGAAGATTTAAAAACAGCAGAGACCAAAAAACTAAATAGAGCTCATGAGTATGAAAAGGAAAACACTCGCTCTGTTTGTCTTCTGGAGCAGAAGCGCAAGGTTGTTTCTTCAAATATTGATGTGCCTCCAGCAAGGTAAGAAGAGTTGGAGGGGTTTTTTTTGTTGTCTTTTCTTTTAAGCTTTTTTTCTGCTTTTTCCATGCCTTTTTTTAAAATGGGATATTAGATGCAAGTTTTGTAAATAGCACTATGAACTACTAAGACTAGTATTCGTGCCCAAGCAGTCCCAAGTCAATCACAACTCCCCTATTTGAGAGATCTGCTAGAAAACTAAAGACGCAAATAGCAGAAACTGAGACCATCTGCAGAGTAGGACTCTGTATTTCTTCTTTACTGTTTTTGCTTTTAGAACATGCTGTAGCTGAGGTACTTGCAGAAGAGGATGTATCTTATGAGGTTGTTAACCCAGGTTCACCCTGAGAAGTAATCTTCTATATTAGACACAGAAGCATCTTAATAGCAGTTTATTTTTTAAAATATTTTTACTTTCATACTTGCAAGAATTTATACTCATGGGAATGTGCAGCGCATAGTGAGGATGTGATGTCTTGTGTTCTGTTATATCCCTCTATGGTTATACATCTGGGTCATAATCTGGTCTAGGAAATGGGTTCATAGAAAACTGTGGTGAGGAAAGACCAGTGCAGGGAAATCAAATTTATACAAAAGGGGGATTTTTTTTTATTACTTTTTAATTCCTTTAAATTCTTAATTAATTATTTGAGGATTTGTTGCAAATGCACATAAATGCTTGTGTCTTCAGCATTTGCATCTGTGCATTATACTTTTAATTATGAACAATTTATAGTGAATTATTTTGAGAAAAATAATTGTTCTTTAAAATGAGCCTGACATATATCGCAGCAAGAAATTCAAGGTATGTTTGTCTGGATTTTTTTCTTCCTCATATTTAAGCAGAATAGTAGTAAGAGAGAAGGATAATCTGGAGAAACTGAGAATTTAATACTGGCTAGTGATTTAAAGAGAAGGCCCTTCAGAAATACTGAGTCTAGAACCTTGAACTTCTTGGAAGGACATTACTGCTTTGAAAGAGAAAGGGAATGACTCCTCTAGGAAATGCTGAACATTAATATAAAAGAAACATATTCAGTAGTGCTGAACAGAATCTTTTCTATCATTGGTGAAAAACTGACAATAAATTGGATAATCTGCGTTGCAAGACAAGTGCTGCTTCTTTTTTTTGTTCATGATTTCATGTTGGCATCAGTCTTTCTGCAGAGATTTTTCTTAACCAGGTCAAGAAAAAAGGTACAAATTTCACTTGCATATAATATTCAGTGAAAGGCTTCTTGAGTTTATAGTGCCACTTAAAAAATTTATAGTCAGAATGAATGTTGAATTGTTTTTCGGTTTGTTTGCTTTCTGAAAACCAAAACAAATAAGCAGATTCTGCCATATCATCCAGACCAGAATGACTCCTGTTTTCCTCTGGCTTTCATAGATGACACTTGCGAAAAACACAAGAGTTCATGAATGTTTTGGCAAGATTTTTTCCCCCATAAAAATCTAGTAAAAAGCTATGCATTAAAACCATGAAAATATTAGGATGCTTATTTGAGATTTTCCCCATTAATCAACCGCGTAATGTCTGAGTGCCTGTGTGTCTCAAAGCAAATAGGATCACCACAAAATTTAGGTCAGGAGGGACCTCAGAAAGTCACCCAGGCCAACCTCCTACTCAAACCATATGTTAGCATTTCCATTTAACAATTCAGACAGATAAAGTACAAGATTTAAGTGTATTTTTGTATGACTTCATGCAGATAATCCACTTGAAGTAGTAGTCGAGCTCTCGTTTTCCATAGCTGCAAGATCATCCTTCCTTGGAGGGATGGATATTTTTTCCTGAATGAGCTGGAAAAGAGGATGAATAAATATCTTTAATGCCTTCTTAAGGCTAATTGTTACACCAGTTGTGAGCACAGGCTGCTTTAGATGGTAGGATATAAGTTCATTTGCAAAGGTGTCTTTTAAAGTTGTTCTTTGTTTCTGTATTTTGTTTGGAACAGAAAAATTACCATATTATGTTGTTGCATGTTTTCAGACATGCAAGTTGAGCTCCTGCATTAGCAGAATTAGAGAATGAAATAGAAAACAAACTTAGTCTAAATTCAATAGCATAATAAACATTTTGGTCATTCTTGCTATATTTTTGCAGACAAGGTCAAGCTTTTCTTTTACTCTGAGGTGAATTACTGAACCATTTATCCATAACAGACAGGAAGAACACTTAAACCTTTGCTTGGAGATCTTCCTAAATATTTGTTGTTGTAATGAAGGGAGTGCTCGGTTTCTCTTCCTGTGCAGCACAGTTTGATCTCTAAATCGCATTCCCCAAGAAGAGTCCATGCAGTTGAAATTCTCCTTCCTTCCTTCCAGTCTTCTGTGTAGGACTGTGCTGATAGAGTTTTGTGTTCTTCAGAGGTGAATTCCTCCTCCCTTTGCCTCGTGGCTGGAGTTGTTGGGTTGACTGTCCTCTCCTCTGGTGGGAACATCCATCTGCCTTTGCAGATTGGTCACACCCAGTTGTGGAAGATCATCTTGTATTAATCAGATAATGTTTAAAAAGTGTGGGAGAAATAAGGACTTTAATACAGTCTTCAGTTTCTTACTGCTACATACACCATCTTTAAAAAAAAAAAAAAATCAGCTATTATTTTGAAATAGGAAATTCTATAAAAATGAAACTTGCTACTTGTTTTGTTTTAAAACCCTAGTGGAGCTGAGGGGCTTACCCTTTCACTTCTTATACTGAAGTAAAGGGTAACATTAAATTTTACAGTATCCCACTAAACCCAAGACAATATTTAAGTGATTTTGAGACAGAAGTATACCAAACTGCAGATTCCTTATTAACGTGGGCATATGAGTATCTCCAAAAGAGCTCTGAAAAGTATTTGCAAAAGTAGCTGGAAAGAGCATGGATAAACATGCTTCACTTTGACCACAAAATGAAACAAAGCCCATCCCTTCTTATCTGTTTTTAAGGGTCTCAGTGGATAAGAATGGAAATCTTCGTGAGGCACTGCATCTAAAATAACTAACAGTTCAGAAAACACCAGCAGAATAAATGTCTATTTGAGGCATTTGGTTGCCAGGCTTTCATTATTGCTTATAGACTCTGAAATTTTAGAAATGTGAAAATATCTTAGCTCAGTCCTAGTGTTTTAGGTGAATGGTAGTCAGGTGTGCTGAAAATACAGGAGATGGAACTGTAGAATATGTGGCACACCTTCTACATGTGCCACATCAGTCTGATGTGCACATGCAGGAGGACAGGAAACCATTGGAAACAAAGGACACTTTCGAGTTTTGGCTTATAATGATATCTGGAGAGAAAGGATAGATCCTCACTATTTAATAGCTCAACAGTTATGCACTTACCTGAAGCCTGGGAGATGTGGGTTCAGGTTCTTCTGCTGTTATATTTGGAAGAAGGACCTGAACTGGCGTCTCTGCTGCACAGTGGAGATGTTTCACCATTGAAATGGTGACATATTCAGGTGCTTCATAGGGCAGCTCTTTAACATAATAGTGTCAGGCTAAGTTCAGCAGACCTGAAATAAATATTTTATTGCATGCAGGAGAATTTTAAGATTGAAATTAAATTACATTTTTTAAGTTCGTTATTTATATTTTCTGTTTCATCTTGCAAAAATACGATGGACCTTTCTCTATATGTTAGGTGCTCTGCTGGAAGTATCTTTTAGATTAAAACAGGAGGAGACTGTGACTTTTTCTTAATGATTTTTATGTTTGGAATGCAAAAATGAAATGAGAGGTTAACAGCATTAAGTCTTTTCCCTTTTTATATTTCTTCATTTGGTCATTTTGAACAAAATTTATACGAGCTAAATAGCTTTCCTGCTTCTGAAACTTTGATAAGCATAAATGAAACCGTTCAGCTTGAGTAAATGAATTGATATAATAAGGAAATTTGAATTCCTTACTTTCCCTTTAAAGTGTAAATTTATTGGTGGTTTTGATGCATAAAGGACTGCAGTCTTGGAGAAAGGGGTCTGACCACTCAACTGTGAACTGCAATTATCTCTGAGAATTGAGATGTTATCTGTAGAACAGAGGAAAATATGCTTTAGGTTGACCTCCAGTTCAAACAGGAGCGATCAAACACAGCCAGATCCATGGATCTGGGTAGTGAAAGGTCTTTTTGTAAAGAGACAGTGGTGTCACTGAGGGACTATTCGTGGGCAGAAACAAGCCCAGGTCAGCTGGTTCAGGCAGCTACATCGGTAGAGGTCAGATACAATCAGAGATGATGTCCCCCGTAGGCAGCGGTGTGGAAGTTAACAGAGCCTTCTTGCTTATTTGTATTTTCACCAGTTACTTACCATCATGCAGACTTAGTCCCAAAGAAAGTCAAAAAGAAAGATATAGAAAAAGCCTGGACTGCTGATACAGGGCATGTGAGCTTGTGAGTAGAGGCGCAGTGCAGGCCAGGTACGCAGGGAATGACTTCTGCATCTTGGAGGAATGAGGAGGGAAGAGTGAGCAATGGAGAACAAGACATGAAATTACCTTTTTTTAAGTAAAATGTAGGAATAAATGTCTGGAAAAAATGATTGAGTTAAAGGATCCTTAAGACAGAAGTGTTTTGATGAGTGGCACTTGGAGAACCTTCAAAAACTTAAATGCATTAGTGTCATAAGTGGTGTCCTTTGGGTGTCCCAGAAAGAACTAGGCAGGCGTCATTCCTACCCCTCTAATGGGTGGGAATGTTTGAATAGTTTTGCTTTTGTTAAGCTTTTGCTAGATGACCTCAAAATATTGTGGAATTTGTATTACCATATCACATCATTCTTCTTTTCCCCAGTCCTACTGTACACTGTTGTCTCTGAAAAAAAGAACAAAAGATAAACTTTCTGTCTTTTTCTACATTGTTTGTGCTCTTAAATGACAAGCCAAAGCTAAAGCTCAGCTGCTTAAGCACTTCCTTTTATATTGTTAAAATAATTATTGCACTTAAAACCTATTTTTTGTGCTCTTCTGGTTCACTGTTATTAAGAAGCGACATTTGCCATGAGAATATGTTGGAT